GCGGCATACAAAAAGCCAGCTCGTCGCGTGTGCCGACTATGGTGGCGAGCTTTGGCGGCAAGGTCTTTGTAGTATAACGCCACGCCGCCAGTAAATCATAGGATGGCGCTCTCGCCTGTCCGGGCACTAGATAATAATGGCCCGAATAGCGAGTGGCTTGATAGATACCGCCCCTGGCTATAATATCGACAATACAAAAAAGCAATGGCGGTAGCAGGATTATCGTCCGAGGGGGGTGAAAAAAAAATTTCAAATGAAGGTGCGTGACGTGGCTCCTGCCCCCTCCCCCTCGGTCCGCCACTGCAAAAAAGCAATAGAAATCATGAAGTGTGCAATGGCATCATTTGCAAAAATTCTTGTCGAATTTTTGGAAGAATGAATTAGAGGTTCTAGCAGCAAGAATACGTGAAACGTTAGGTACCCGCTGCTGAAGCAAGTAAGGCTTCATATATATATATATATATATATATATATATATATATATATATATATATATATATATATATATATATATATATATATATATATATATATATATATATATATATATATATATATATATATATATATATATATATATATATATATATATATATATATATATATATATATATATCAAGGTTGTCCCATAAGTTCCGTCCGTTTAAACTTTCAATCGCAATAAGTCATGAACTTCTTGGTTTTAGACAGGTTCCAAGGTACCATTTGATAGAGCAAAGCAAGCTCTACAAGATGCGCTTCTCATTTTCGCATCAGTTCAAATCCATCTCGAGTTTGAAGCCAAAAACCAAAAAGATCCAACCGCCCGAAAAATAAAGAAAAATTCGCAACTCCGTTTAGAAAAATCCTAGAAAATTCCTAATTTGCTCACAGATGCCCTATTCATATCAGACATTTATATATACCGTTGCTGTATTTTTTCCTCAAATAGAAATCGAGAAAACGAAAATTTTCATGTTCTTGCCAAAGTGATGCTGTGCCGTTCTCGCACTAGTAGTTGTATACTACAGACCAGTACAAGTACAGACAAAAATTTTCAGCGCTCTACAGGCTTTAGTTCTCGAGAAACATTGAGTTTAGCTTCGTACAGTCGGGGTGTCCCGTCTTAAAACGATTATTTCTCGAGAACTAAAGCCTGTAGAGCGCTGAAAATTTGTGTCTGTACTTGTACTGGTCTGTAGTATACAACTACTAGTGTAAGAACGGCACAGCATCACTTTGGCAAGAACATGAAAATTTTCGTTTTCTCGATTTCTATTTCAGGAAAAAATACAGCAACGGTATATATAAATGTCTGATATGAATAGGGCATCTGTGAGCAAATTAGGAATTTTCTAGGATTTTTCTAAACGGAGTTGCAAATTTTTCTTTATTTTTCGGGCGGTTGGATCTTTTTGGTTTTTGGCTTCAAACTCGAGATGGATTTGAACTGATGCAAAAATGAGAAGCGCATCTTGTAGAGCTTGCTTTGCTCTATCAAATATTACCTTGGAACCTATCTAAAACCAAGAATTTCATGACTTATTGCGATTGAAAGTTTAAGCGGACGGAACTTATGGGACAACCTGATATATTAGGTTGGTCCGAAAGTTCGTTCGCACCATTTTCAAAAAATCATAACTTCCTTCCCTCATAATGATTTTGCGCAATTCAAATTTCATTAAGAAGCGAAAAGCATGTAGTTTCCAACAGTTCCCTGGCAACTTTCCAGCATGTTCACATTGCAGAGATAAAAATGAAAGAGCGAAAACATCCGAAATTCGGAATTTTTGAGGAACAATTCCAAAAATCTAGAAACTGTGCGATAAAATCCAGAAAAACCATTATCCTAATTTTTCTTATATTTGATTACTAACTGAGGTAAGTTTGTGCTGATCGAGCTCTTCTTGCAAAAGTTATGATTTTTTGAAAAAAAAAATGCCGAAAAATCAATTTCTTAGGAATTCTTAGAAAAGTGATTTTTCGGAATTTTTTTCAAAAAATCATAACTTTCGAAAGAAGAGCTCGATCAGCACAAACTTAGCTCAGTTAGTAATTAAATATAAGAAAAATTAGGATAATGGCTTTTCTGGATTTTATCGCGCAGTTTCTAGATTTTTGGAATTGTTTCTCAAAAATTCCGAATTTCGGATGTTTTCGTTCTTCCATTTTTATCTCTGCAATCTGAACATGCTGGAAAGTCGCCAAGGGACTATTGGAAACTACATGCTTTACGATTTCAGACAAAATTTGAATTGCGCAAAATCGTCGTGATGAAAAGAAGTTATGATTTTTTGAATATGGTGCGAACGAACTTTCGGACCAACCTAATATATATATATATATATATCTTATATATAAAGCTGAATGTCTGTTTGTCTGTCTGTCTGTCTGTCTGTATGTATGTCTGTCTGTACGTATGTTCCGAATAGAAAATTCCATTTCTGAACCGATCCGGACCAAACTTGGCACACATACACTACGGGCCCCGGCGGGTGTCATAGGCTACTTTTCGTCATCGATCGATATCGATTTTATCGATTTTTATCGATTTTTTTGCTGAGTTCACCTACGGGGCTGGGAGTTGGCACAGGGGGGTAATCGAGCATGGGGATTCCGAATACAATATTGGTTTTCGGGATTATCGATTACTTTTATCGATTTTATCGATTTTTTTTGCAAAGTTTGAGCTACGGGGCTGGGAGTTCGCACACGGGGGTAATCGAGCATGGGGATTCCGAATACAATATTGGTTTTCGGGATTATCGATTACTTTTATCGATTTTATCGATTTTTTGCAAAGTTTGAGCTAGGGGGCTGGGAGTTGGCACAGGGGGGTAATCGAGCATGCTGATCATCCCCAAGGGGGGTGATCAGCATGCTCGATTACACCCCTGTGCCAAATTCCAGCCCCCTAGCTCAAATTTTCAAAAAATCGATAAAATCGATAAAAGTAATGGACGATCTTGAAAACTAATATTGTGTTCGTAATCTGCATGCTCGATTACCCTCCTGTGCAAACTCCCAGCCCCGCAGGTCAAACTTTACAAAAAAAATCGATAAAATCGATAAAAGTAATGGACGATCCTGAAAACTAATATTGTGTTCGTAATCAGCATGCTCGATTACCCCCCTGTGCAAACTCCCAGCCCCGCAGGTCAAACTTTACAAAAAAATCGATAAAATCGATAAAAGTAATGGACGATCCTGAAAACTAATGTTGTATTCGGAATCCCCATGCTCACTTCCCCCCCTGTGCCAACTCCTAGCCCTGTAGGTGAACTATGCAAAAAAATCGATAAAAATCGGTAAAATCGACATCGATCGACAACGAAAAGTGGACTGTGACACCCGCCGGGGCCCGAAGTGTATGTGTGCCAAGTTTGGTCCGGATACGGCGGAGCCGGGTAAGCCAGCTAGTATATATATATATCTGACGATAGACGCATAGCGGTTGTTGGAGAATCGCTGATGTCTGCGCTGCCTAGCTACTCGTGGCTGCTGCGCTGGGTACGCTTAGCGTGTAAGAACGAAATAGTTTTACCCACTTCTACGTTTAGCTTGGGCCATTAGGGGTAAGTCTTGAGAACTACCAAAGTTGAAAAATATAATAATATGAGGTCCAAAAAAGCCATACTGTCTTCACTAAAAAATTTTCTTTTCAACAAGCATAAAAAGGACAAACCAAATGTTGCATATACTGAGAAAATCATAATCATTTGACAAATATGCAAGCGAGTGCCACAGTAGGACCTTGTTGTGTGCTTGAGGCGACAAGGAACTACTTAGGTCATACTGCCGTTAACGTATTGAGGTGTACTGGTAACATCCCACTAAGTCGTTAGAATCTTTTAGCTTTTCATCTCTACCCCAATTTTATTTTAAATTTTTCTTCGTTAAAGTTGCGTGCAGTTGCTCAGATTTCATTCTTTGTCAACTTCGTAAATTCTTCATTGATATCTTATCGACGCATTTGCGTTTCGCTTTTGCAAATTTTGTCATAGTTCAGTATCGCGACAAGTGCTCTAGAAATCCTTTAAGTTCGGAAACATGTTAAAAAGCAAATTAAGCAAAATCAGCGTTAGAAGTATGAAGCAGCTGAGGGAACTTCATATCGCGTAGCAGCGAGGAGCAGCAACGAGCAGCAGGGAGCAGCAAGAAGCAGCGCAGCATCGATAGCTATAGCGGGACTGTTTCGCGTTGGCGTAGCAGCTAGAAGCAGTTGCGATCCCTAACTCAATCAATACGATACGCACAAGCACAAGCACTGCTGCTAGCAGCGTCCTATCGTCAACTGACCCATCGTCTCGCATATATGAAGCCTAACGAGTTGGTCTAGCGTATACCACAAATCGGCAGGCGTGAATTCTCTGCACCTCCCTCGGCTGGGTCGTACTGCTGAATCTAAGTACGCTTATTTAAAGGCTGCTGCATGACAAGGGCGCAATATCTTTGTGCGCGAACGCGGCTATACTAGCCGCAGAGAGCATGAGACACAGGATCTACAATGGTGAGGATGCGCGCGCGCCACGTTAGCGTCCGCTCAACTAATACTGCTCCTGTGCCTTCGTCATGCAGCAGCCTTTACATTGTAAACTAATACTACGATATCCTCTCTATCTTGACTTTCAAACATTATCCAGCTTCCCCACGTTCTACTCGTGCCGAGTCCCGATTATACTCATCGTTTCATTCCAATTATGACACTGAATCGTAAATCGTGTGCCGCCTCAAAAAATTCTACCAACGAATTAAGAATAACCCAGCGTTTGAAGCTACTGGATGCGCAAATTTACGAGGCCCAGCGGTGCTAAACTAGTCTGCAATCATCCCAGATCCAGATTGATCTGGCATTTTGAAGTGTCCGGAGGGTTGGACATGGCTCCAAGCGCGAGGGACAAATCTTGATTCAGAGCAGCGCCTCATGCCACTGCTCCCATATGCACGTCTTAGCAATGAAAGAAAACACATGATTTGGAAAGAAACGACTCTAAGGAGAGCCATTGTTTCGCAGTACAAACCTCAGACTCCGTTTTGCCAAGTTGCTGTGCTCCTCTTCCCTTTCGATTGTGCCCGCGTTGAGCATAGCCTTTTCTGTACCTAGGAGTGTCAGTAATAAAGATGTATTCACATTCCTATGATCTACTCCACAGAATTTGAAAAAAAGAGAACACTGAATGAAAATCATAAGCTGACCTATTCAAAGGGCGTTCATTAACTTCTCTAGACGAAGGGAATGCTGCGGAATCTTCGCTCCTCTGCTCATCCACAACTACACTTTCATTCTGATTTGGTGACGACTTCACCGTTGACTTCAGCACATCAGTCCGTGTTTTTGTCTTCACTGTCGCTGTAGTTTTGTCTCCCACAGCACCGAAGTGAGGCTTTCCCTCAGTTACATGTGCTCCAGAATCATTTTCTGAGACAGCAGCGGGTTCGTTCACGTACTGAAAATTAGCGAGTCATACTTGGTTACCTAGAAGTATGGGCTGCTGCATGACGAAGGCGCAATATCTTTGGACGCAAACGCGGTTCCATTAGCCGCACAGCGCATGAGGCGCCGAGTTTGCAACGGTGAAGATACGCGCGCAGCGTTCGCGCACGCTCAGCCATCATTGCTTCTGCGCCTTCGTCATGCAGCCTTTACCAAATGTTCGACCATCGACGTAAGTTAATCCCACGCCAAGTAGGACATGACAGGTGGTTAGTATATATTCGTGTGTAACCGCCCAAGCCGCTACGAATAAAGCTCTCAACATAAGGACTCTTTGCTTCTTGATGCACTGATGCTGGCCGGGGCGAGGGAGGAGGATGAGGGGGGGGGGGGGTTGGGGAAAGAGGGAGGGAGAGCAATGTCAGCAAAAATTCCTTTGGGGTTGTTTCAGACTGCCGCACTGACCGCAGCAGACTGCAGTTGACCGCACTGACTGCAACGGCCGCAGCGGCTGAAGCCTAAAGATGGAGAGGACAAATAGTTGTGATGACTCTAACAAACAACAACAATATATATCTATAAGCAAAAGACAACACGGGCTAGAATGTTACAAAGCAGATATTTGCAATGATAGGAGGAATTAGAACAAATACGAGCATACCAAAGCAAAACTATTGCCAAAATTTGATTGAGAAGAAATGTGATGGAACTTATGATCTTCTTAGGCGTGAATCATGCGGTTTTGATAATCGCGGTTGTTTTTCTTTTACGAAAGGAGGCAGCGACCGGTGCGGTTAGTGCGGTCAGCTGCAGTCAGCTGCAGTCTGCTGCGGTCAGTGCGGCAGTCTGGAACAACCCTTGACGAGCAGCCTAAACGGCACCTTATTCAGGGACAGTGGCGCTTCCCAGGAAATGTAATGCTCGAACAGAGCGAGTGTCCGTCTCAAAGCCTAGATTTTCTGTGCTATATTGGCTCCTATCAAAGGGAATAAGTGGGGCCGCACTCCTGCTTCCGCATATAGCGGACTTACACAAGACGCTGGAAGCAGCAAAATTGCAGTAGTGGACTAACATCACTGAGATGAAATATGCGGACATTGCGAGAAATCAATAAAAACATGCACAACGCAAATGATCAGAGGCTAACCTAAACTGTAACTTACCAGGGAAGACACTTTGGTCGAAGTGGCCATATGGAAAGTGATGCATATGGATAGACAGCTCCTCGAACGCTGATTTCAAAACTGCTTTAGCTATCTGCGGAGCGTTTCTGTAAAAGGAGTTTTGAGCCTTTGTTTTCCCCAAAACGACCTTCCCTTTATCAAGGAGTGGCAAGACATTCCCGTTGAGGCGGCGTGGTGTAGCGGTGAGTGCATGCGGTTTACAGGTGAGTGAGCAGGGTTCGAGTCCTGTTGTCACCCAGAGGTTTTGCATTTTTCTAAAATTATTGCTTGCTTTGAAAATGCCACATATGGACGGCTTTACTCATATTCTTAATTCTTGTGCGTTGGTAATCCAAAACGCGCTTAGGCAAGAGATTAGCTATTGAACTTTTATACCTTTTTGAACATTTCTAAGAAAGCTTCTTATCTGTAGAAGTGTAGCTAAAGAAGTGTTCCACAACTGGCCACATTCAAAGCCTGATCACTTGTAGCGAGATTACGATAAATTGTCCAAGTGTGGCATTTTCAAAAGCAAGCAATAATTTTAGAAAAATGCAAAACCGCTGGGCGACAACAGGATTCGAACCCTGTTCATTCACCTGCAAACCGCAGTCATTCACCACTACATCACGCCGCCATAACGTAAACGCCGTGCCGCGCCTTGATGAAGGGTCGTTTTTGGGGAAAACAAAGGCTCATAACTCCATTTATAGAAGCGCTCCGCAGATAGCGAAAGCAGTTTTGAGATCAGCGTTCGAAGAGCTGTCTATCCATATGCATCACTTTCCATATGGCCACTTCAACCAAAGTGTCTTCCCTGATGAGTTGTGATCTTTTCAACCCACCTCTTCCGTAAGAAGTGAGTCTTCCCTCTCCGTTCCTTTTTTCATCGACGATGACCGCCGATATATTTGTGGCTGTATGGCCGTTCGTCCGCGGTTTCGTACATATCTGCCTCGTTGTGGGACTTGTCGACGAGCATCTGAATGCACTAATTACGATAGCTTATTGGTCACTGTGAACGTAATTAACTACGACTACAAAAGAAACTACAAAGGGCACTAGGCATTCAAAATGACTATATGAGCAGCTTCAAAATGCGAAATCAAGCTTCATAAGCCACCTCGAAAAATCTTCACGAAAAATTTATATTGGGAGACCGCCGATAGGTACCGACTGTAATATGTAGTACCCTATTTTCAGGTGTATAAGCCGCGGGGTGGTCCTAGCTTACATCGACCAGCCCGAACACATTAAAGGACTTCGCAACCAAAGGACCCTATACCGTGCTGCGTATTGCCTGAAATAATCGTGCAGCTTAAGGATTTCTTCTCGAAACACAACTGAAGCAGCTGAGCAGCCCGGGCGAAAATTTGAAAAAGTGCGGTTTATACACCTGAAAATAGGTGGAAAATGTACGCGCCGAAAACGGCTGTCTCTGGTATAACGTTCTACTGCCGTTTGTTCAAGAAAAACATAGGTTTTATCACAATAAAAAAGTAATCTAAGATTTTGCGAGTACGCGCGAGCAAATTTGCCACTCCCTCCCCTCCCTCCCCCGTCGACTGCAATCCAACCGGCACGAGACGATGCGACGCTTGTGCACGTAGCGACATCTGCTTATTACCGTCACCGCTGACGTCCTGTCGTCCTGTGCCGAGTGCATTAGCAATGCGGACGACTCTGGCGCAGCCCGAATGCGGAAGGTAAAGGAAATTGATTTTCACAGTCCTTTGACTTTACGAGAACCAAACTTAATGAACCTACTTTTACTCCAAGGTTCTGCATTCGCCTCCTTTTGATCATTCCGCACTTCTACTTTCTGAGCGATTTTGATAGGAGCTTGTGCCCGGTAATCACCGTCACTTTCTTGTCGCTGCACATGCGAGGGAGCTCGACGCTGATACGCATCCTCGGAATACATGAGCTGGCGCACATCATTGCTACCTTGCTGCCGTCTAGCCCTCAAAGTGGCACGGGCAAAGTCAGAGTCAGCTGGACGTCGCGCAGTGTCCTAGGAATTTTTTGACAGTGTAACAAAATTGATGGAATAAAAGCGATACCTACCTTATCCACTTTTATCGATGCAGCTTCAGATACAGAAGGGAAGTGTTGCTCAATTGCTTGTTGCATGATTTTTGGAACACGCGAAAGCTGAATAAGAAAAGTTAATCCTAAGCTATTTATAAGGGATTTTATTTATGTTGATAACACCAATCACTTGAACCTCACAAGCAAACCAACAAAATGTATTTGATCAATTCCAGCTCTGACCAAACGTCTAAATCTGACTGACAAGGAATGCATGTTTGGTCGAAGTGGCCTTTCTAAATGAGATGTGTACCATATTAGAGGGCATAAAATGCTGACTCAAAATCTGCCTTTCTTATCTGCAGAACGTCTATGAGCGAGGATTTATGAGCGTTTTTTGGAGCCAAGAATTGAATGCAAGTAGGACAAAAATAGCCGTAACACTTTTTCTAGCTCCTCAATGAAGCAGTGATACAGAGCGCTTTATTCAAATATATAAATACACTCCAAACTGAAAAAATATCCACTTGGTTGCATTATTTGAGGGCAAGTAAGATTTTAGCAACTGATTTCATCCAAATGCACATTCAATTTTTGACTCCAAAGACGTCCATAAACGCTCTGCAGATAAGGAAGGCAGATTTGGAATCAGCGTTTTATGCCCTCTAATATGGCACACATCTCATTTAGAAAGGCCACTTCGACTAAACATGCATTCCTTGTGAGAGACATAATAAGAAAAGCAACACATGTAAAACACGGATGGCCCACCTTCTCGCGTTCCTGCGATTCTCTTTCCTCTTGTCGTTTAGCCCAAACATTGTCTGCTGGAGCGGAGAGATGACCATCATCAGTCTGCAGAAAAAATAGGCTGATTGTGATGATACGCAAAGACAACAAAAATGATGTTGGAAAAAAGCAACTAATACTGATGGCGTATCCTTATAATCTGATAAGTGAAAATACTCTGATCAAATACTGTTGCAGTTGAAACTACAACTCTAGACTTACTGTCTTAAGATTCGAAGGATTGGAATCGTCGGCAGTATCCACAGATTGTTCAATTCTTTTCTCCGCATAAGACCCATTATCGGAATTATGTCCCTTTGATGCTACTCGATTCTGACATAAAAGAACTGAACAGCATGTCCATGTGCATTGATGTACTCACAAGAACTTCCGGTGATGAAGAAGCAGTGTCATTCTCGTTCACGGAAACACCATTTGATTCTGCGACCCGCTTCACTATCCGAATACTTGGCTTATCTAGCTTCGTCATTTGAATGTCTGCAGTTTTCATTTTAGACAGCACGTAACATGAAAAGTTGGTGTTTACCATCATCCTCGTCGCTGACATCTTCAAGTTCCAAGCCTTTGTCAAGATATCCCATACGTCTTTTTGTGGAGTCAATATCCCGCTAAATATATATCACCTCGATTATGAGACGAGCTTTATAATCATTTCAGTCACTCCGCTAGAAAGTCGGTGGTCAAGTTCGGATTTGAACAGAGTAGACCGGTTGCGGTAGTGCGCGGCACGCCCAGCTCTCAATTCAAGCCTACGCTTTTTTTGTCGTTGCATGGTATATTTTGTATTTCAATAATGCTCGTGATCAAATTGCGATTTGTTGTTGAGCGATGTTTCATAAGCTGGGCTCGTTTCTTCAATTCTGATTATAGGTGCATAAGTTGTGAGAAACGATCAAGATAAGAAGTTTTCGCCATTGAGTTCCAGTTTGGTAAGTAAGATGTACTAAAATGCAGGTTTAGTAAATCTTATACTACAAAATGCTATCAGCAGTTTCTCCATTGAAAGTGGATGAAACGAGCACATCAAATAACATCAATATAAAACACCTTCCAGCAATAAGAAAGACTAGTTCAGACTAACATTGTTGATACAAAAAATAGCACGAAAAGGGGAAAAAAGCACAACTTGAACTGACGGCTATGGCCTAAGGCCTAAGGCATACCTCGCGCGATTCGGCCGAATCGCCACTTTCACGCGACTTGGCGATTTGCCAGATTTCTGTAATTTATCATGCGCACTTCTCGGACGCATATTTGGGTAGCTTGTGTAAGTTGTTGCAAACAAAGCAAGTTCTGACCAAAGGCAGCGCATTAACGACGAATTACGAAGAGTCGCTGTGGTGCCAAATCGCGCAGCGACCGGAATCGCGTGAGGTATGCCTTAGGCCTTAGGCCTCTCGCGATTTCGCGAAATCGCCACATCCTCGCGACTTGGCAATTTGCCAGATGTCTAGAGATTAAGTATGCGGGCTCTCAGATGCATGGGTGCGTAGATTCCGTAAATTGTAACAAACACAGCAAGTCTGGCCCAAGCAAATTGCGTTTACGACCAGCTATGGAGAGTCGTTGCAGTGCCAAATCGCGCGGCGACTAAAATCGCGTGAGGTATGCCTTAGGCCTAAGGGCCGCGCTCTGCCGCAGCCCACGTGCCTAGTTGAAGGCAGCGTCCGGGTAAGATTTCGGATGGAAATTTTTTCGCTTACCTGGGCTTATCCTTCCCGCTGATTCCGAAAGTACAGCTCGGAGAGCACGAAAACAAAAACGGGCTTTTCCAGAAGTTTTTATTTGAATTTTGTCGCCTGCCGCCAAGGTTAAGACGCAGAGTCTTTGTGGGACCCTAAGTCTTGACTGTGTGCGGTATGCGCACTCCTCAGACACTCGCGGTTGAGTCGCGCAGGGGATCCGCCCACAAAATGGGCGTTCGCACCAAAATCCGGTGGACCGGCGCGAGTCATCATTTTAGTTTCGTCCCGATTTTGATGCGATTTTGTCGCGACGGGCGAGGAGATTTCGAAATAATGCACCTATAGGTCAATTCTTCCCAGCATTTGTTGCTTTTTCTCTTCCTTTTGATTTGAAAATTCTTTGAATTGTTATTTTGTACTGTCCAGGGATGACTCTTGTCATAATGGCTGGTTGCTGACTTTTTAGCTTAGTAGCAAATGACCATGTTTGCATATTCTAGCGAAACATCCCTTTTCATAATCTACAAGTTACACTTTTGCAAGCTATTACATTGTGACTATGCTTCCAGAAATATATGATTCCAGACGCAAATATTCCTCAAAGCAGCGCATACTTCTGAACTACAATTTTGCAGGGAAGACATTCGGAGGTATCATTTTGACCCTGATATGTCCATGCTCCTTCCATCAAAGGTGATTCATTTGTTTACGATCCTGGTAACAGTAATTTTTTATTTTCAGAAAAAGCGCGTCATGGTCGAAGGCAGCAGTGTTACCAAGAAGACGTAATGATCCAGAAGATTGAAAACGTTGAAGATGAAGTTAAAGTAGTTGAAGAAGATTAATGCTGTTGTCATTCTTAATCGTAGTTCTTTCGTAACCTTGTGTCGTGGTTGCGGTGCGTTGAATTTTATACTTGCTGCTGACTGAGCATCTCATTTCGATGTTATTGTAAACGCTACTCGAGAAGATCATGTGGTATTTGCTAATAAATTTTATGTCGTCAGACTGGGTTTCATCAGCAGAAAAGAAACAAGCGTGAGAAACGGGACCCAACGTGACCAAGGACTCAAGGTAAGTCAAAAGGAATGCGTGAGAGAGGGCTTAGAGGACGCAAAAAGTAAGTCAGTAAGGGCGTAGGCCGCGTGCTCTGAACGCGATCGGGACATTTTGGTGTCTCGCGCAGGTGTCCCGATTTTGCCCCGATTTTGTCGCGCACTTTTGCCGCGACACAAAATCAGGTGTCCTGATTTTGCCGCGACACCGATTTCGCGAGTCGCCCAGACATTCGTTGACGACACCTCGTTTTGCCCTGCGCGACTCAACCGCGAGTGTCTGAGTCTAGCTTATCGAACTAACTCGTCCCCGGTCGCCGGGGCGTTCTAGTCGCCACTTCTGAAGCGGTTTTCTCGCTGCTCATTGCCAGCTGGGCAAGAGCCTTACCAGATTGGGCGCCCTTGTACTCTACATTTTCGTTTTTGACTGGACGCTGCCTTTAAGCTAACTGACCAACTCGTGTTACTGGGGTGAGGACGACTGTAAACGAGTGCGATAACTTCAATGATACAGTCGAGTAGATTTTCCGCTTAATTCAGTACAGTGTGTGCTTGCACAGAAGGTGAAATGCGGTAAGATGCTCGTGAGGAAATAGCTTCGACTGTGACGCCGGCCAATTGCGCGCGCAAAATGCCGGCAGTGCTGGCGCAGCTATAGGGCTCTGCAGAATCGCGAGAGTCGGTGAGTTTGCGGCCATTGCGCACGCAGGATGCTACAAGGCCTCAAACCACTCAAACAATCCTGTACTTTTCGGAATCGCCTCAAATAATTGGAAGCTTACATCCGATTGCAGGAAAACGTCAAAAAGGAGAAAGAAAACCGAGAAAGCTCAATGCGCGAGCAATGGCCGCAACCTCATCGACTCTCGCGATCCTGCAGGCCCCTATACCTGTTCACGCGCAAATTTTACCGCATTTCATAAACTTGCGAACACACTATATTGAGCGGAAAATCCACTCGACTGTAATTGTTGAGCTACACCCTCAGATTTGTTCCACTGTGTTCCACTTCAATATATTAACACATTTACAACAATACAACCCGCCAATGGGTCGTATGCTTTCTGAAGTTCGATTTTGCTAGTTTACAATGAAATTTCCTGGGCAAATTGAGTAAATTTTTGTATACAGCTCTCGGAATACTTTTCAAAAGATTAACACTTCAGACCACAAACCCATCCGTGAATAGAGAATATTACGCTAACTCAATATCGCCGTCCGAAATGGCAGTCAGAGCCCGGCACAAGTCGGTTTCTAGGGTTTCTGAAAACGAAGTCCCCTTGAATTTCGGAAGTTCTACGAAGTCCCCTTTGACCTAGCTACTTGGGAAAAGATGAAAAAAAGAACGACTTACTAGTCTAAAAGAAAAAACGTGAGATAAGACTGAAAATCCAGATTGGAGCTGAATACTTCGCATGCACATGAGTTTGGCATTGGAGCGCGATATTTAACAAAACGGTTTATGAAGAAATTAAGGCAAAAAAAACAAAGGAAAGGCAATGATATGAAAAGGTCTTCATGCTAAGTGATAGATATTTGACCTTGGCATCCGTCCATACCAAAGAAATCCGAAACTTATGTGAAGTGACGGAAATATATGCTACGGACGATCTCAGATCGTTTGATGGCCGTTTGGAGACGAACTAATTTTGGAAAAGGTATTACTTCACATAAGTTTTCAAATGTTTTTACATAATTCTTCCGCTAATACTTCTAGGTATACGATTCAATTTTGTTGTCACGCGATTCTGTGTGCGCTGTAAACAAGCAATTCGTTTATTTTAGCCTTGCTTTCAAATCGCGCGCACTTTCCGCCATACACGATAGAGCATGCCTACCATGTGATAACCTGTCCGAAAAGCTTGTGTTCGACTAAATAGCTCTTATTCTTGATGCTCGGCCCCGACTCGTCAAAAACGATATCTGCTTTGCTTTTTGCTCCAAAAACGAAGTCCAGCCTGCTTCCAGACGATCTGTGCTGGGCCCTGATGGCAGTCATCAAGAAATCGGCCTTGTCGTGAATGTGTTGTACACATGTGACACATTCTGTAGGAACAGAACGCAAGAAGAACATAAGGTCAGTTTGAACTTAAAGGCAGTGGATCGGCAGAACTGAACAACTCGGAAGTTTGCAGCAGTAGGTTGCTTACTCCCCAACTATGAAAACAGAGCAGTTCGGCCGCAAAGTTTGCTCTCCCGGCCGAGAAAATTGCCCTGGAACCTGTATGCGCAAGCCTTTCTTGAGCTGCGCTCATACTGATCCCGAAGTTCAGGAGTTCCAGTACAGTGCCCGAACTGAACGTTGTGCCGGAACTGTTCCCGAACTTCGGGATCAGTATGAACGCAGCCTTACACACGTTCGGACGAGCTCGCGATTCTCCTCCCACTGTTGGAGGCGGCATACCGGGGTGGAGGACTATATGTCGCCGAAAGGGGATGGTCCCGTGCGCACATCTGCGACAGAGCGCGCAAGTCCACCCGCTACAGGCATACAGATTTGTATCAGCTGCCAGCGCGGGGTGGAGCCTAACGGCAATATATAGTCCCCTACCCGCATGCCGCAAGTTATAACCAGGGTTGAGCGTGGGTCAGGCGTGAGGTCAGGCGCGCAAGACCTGGGGGGGGTCGTATTGGTGGTAAGACTGAGGGGGAGGGTGGTCGTAATCAAGAATCGAATTCGCTCAAAACTAAGGAAATACTACGATTGAGTAAGGTGAAGAAGAAAAGCTTAGACCGCATATCACAACTCCACTAGAATTGAAGGAATGACTGTCGTGACTAGCATAATGACTGACTCCATCGGAGTTTCAGCCAAATTTCAATTCTCCATTCCTTACCTGACACTACTAAGGTCACGGTCACCAAAGAAGCTTGCTGTGTAAATTGAGTATAGTTTCCGTGATTAGCATATCAAATCACCTCTACTAGCACTAGAGACCATTACCTTTACATTTTCTAGCGTTTTCTATTTTTAAAAAGCCTGAAATTCAAACATGATTGACTTGGTTTCAGAAGTGAAAGAAGTCAGCTTATTTATACTCATAACAAAGTAATGTTCCCTATCAGTCTATACTATTAGAATTCATATCGCTTTCAACTAATGGATTAGGAAGTACTGCCAATATTCCAAACATCACGTTTTTCACCTTGAGCGCGTCAACTCCGCGGATTACCACAAAGCCCAAACAAGTCGAGCTAAGCTCAAACACCTACTGTAGAATGTTCGGGGTTTGTGATAGCGAATTACCTACATGAAACTTGGATGAAAAAGCGTCTTCGAAGATAAAGTTAAAGGGGTCGGGCGCAACCTCTCAAAAGATCGAGACGCTTTTTGTAGCCTTCCGCCTGACCCACTTAACTTGTCTTTAAAGTTCAGAAATCAGTCCATTTCTGGCATGAGTATTGCGCTCATAGCCTCTTTTTGCCTCAGGGAAAATTTGGAGCAAAACACTCCACCCCTGGGGGAATTCTGGCTCGTTCAATAGGGCGATTCACATCAAAATCCGCCGTCAAATTGCGTGTGCTTGTGATGTGCAATCCAGAAAAGCGATCATACATTCTCCTAAAATTCAAAAACTCTGCAGGACAGACTCTTCTTCTCCAGAGTGTCACACTCTGAGGTTTCGGAGGTGGAGAGGATCAAGAGGAGGTCGTTTGGGGGCTTTTCTGAAAGGGGGGAGGGGGTCGTTTCCGAACGACTTGTGCCTGACCCTTTGCTCAACTTTGGTTACAACCGAAAGGGGCACCGACTCTGCGTCTCTAACGTTGGCGGAAACAGTCCACATTCAAAAAGAAGGGCCTAAGAAAGGCCGTTTTCGTCATTTTTAAGCTCTCTAAGGTGGATTTTCGGCATTAGCGCCTCGCATGACTCCATCTAAGCGAAGCTTTCCCAAAGATGAGATTTGCCGAGCCACTGCCTTTAACACATTCACGACAGGGCCGATTTTTCGATTGCCATTTCGGACCAGAGCATATTTCGCAAAATTGAGTTTGCGTAATATTTTCAGGTCACTGATGGACCTGTGGTCTGAAGTGTTAATCTTTTAGAAAGTACTCGAAGAGGTGTATGCAGAAGTTTACTCGGTTCGCCTAAAAAGTTTCACCGCGAACTAACAAAACCAAAAACTTCGGAAAGCATACGACCCACCGGTGGGTCGTATTGTCCGAAGTGGCAGAACACGTACGACCCCAGGCAGATTTGAAAGCAGTCAGTCTCAACAGTTTGTTGAAGCAGGTTGCCCATGCAAATCATAGCCTAGCTGCGACTGCAAAATACTGCGTTTGAAGCGAAAAATTGTTTCAGAAGTCTAAACATACAGGGTGTCCCAAAAGTATGTATCGAACGTTTGATCGTTAATAACTCTCTTCCCAAGAAGTCTTTTGCCTTGCTTCAGGTACCGTTTTGTAGAGCTGGCTTCAACTTAGATTTGCAGTATAGAACGAATCACTCATTTCTCTTCATTACTGTAGGATTACGGTAGAAACTTCAAGGAGGGTTTTAAGCAATGAAACGCCATATTTTGCCCCAGAAAGGAAACAAAACAGCCTTAAAACTTTTACACTAGGCTAATTAGAGTTGCTGATTATAACTGTAAAGTTCCCAACTTATTATGATGCTTCATTGAAGAGTTATGCCAGGTAAGAAGTAGCGGCCATTTTTTCAATGTTCCTAAAAAGTGGGATTGCACCGTTTAGAAAGCTTCGTAATCTTGTGAATAGTTAATTATTGAACTCAGCGTCCATAAAAACCCTATTACACAAGTTTTCACGATTTTTTGAAAAATTTTGAAACGGCAGCTTTTTTCACATTAACACCATATGTTTCAAGTTTCTACCGTAATCCTACAATAATGAAGAGAGATGAATGATTCGTTCTATAGTGCAAATCTAAGTTGAAGCCAGCTCTACAAAACGGTACCTAAAGCAAGGCAAAAGACTTCTTGGGAAGAGAGTTATTAACGATCAAACGTTCGATACATACTTTTGGGACACCCTGTATATGCGCTTCGGTCCTTACCAAGCAGGAAATCGTCCTGGGACTGCGGCCGTTGCGACGCTGTCATTGGCTGCATATTTTGCAATCGCAACAGGGCTATGGTGTTTGCACAGCCTATTTCAAGATACTGTAAAGCCTGAATGCTGCCAAATCTGCCCGGACATTGCTTTTAAACTCAGTGATCATTAGTAGATGTCATTCAAAGATGTTATCAACTCCAGGATCTAATAAAGCTTGATTTACATGATCATAAAATGTAGAAGGCAACTTGAGAACTTACATCAGATTTTTGACTATCAATAGCAGCTGGTTTACAGACATCTTCACCATCGATACTCTGAAAGAATGAGAATATAAGCGAGTATAAGAAAGAATAGTTTTGTGTATGAGTAAGACATATATAGCTTATACAAGAAAATAGCGCATTTGTGAGTGTCCACACTGTTTGGGCATTCGCTAGCGTCTTAAAGGCAGCGTCCAGGCAGATCTGGACCTATGAAGATTTTACGTGGAAAGTACTTTTGGGGCCCTAACTAAGGCAGTGCCCAAGTGGCAGCGCAGGTAGTGCTCTAACGGCTAAGAAATTCCCCTCGAAATTGGACCCCGCGATCGTATTCGCATGGATTCATGGCAGTTTCGCGTCCACGCTTTGCGCCATGAATCCATGCGGAATATGATCGCGGGGTCCAGTTTCGAGGGGAATATCTCAGTCGTTAGAGCACTACCTGAGCTGCCGGTTGGGCAGTGGCTTAATTAAGGCCCCAAAATTACTATCCGCGTAAGATCCCCATGTGTCCAGACTTGCCTGGACGCTGCCTTTAATTCTGTGGTGAACATCCAGGAATGAAAATTAACGATAAAATCTTGCAACTTCCCAAAAACAGGTTGAGGTAATAACTGCTGCGAAATTCACCGCGATACTCTACGACACTTAATTTCTGGATGGCAAATTGCCAGTGCGCTTGTTAGCTTCCAGCAAAGGACACATCGACTAACACAATACCTTGATCTACACTCGGTTGAAACAGACTACATCCAGCTGGTTAGCCGACGCAACTGCTATATATCACTGGCAGTCAGCTGATATGCAGATTTTTGTCTCTTTTCCAGGCTGCGTCTGTTGATTTTTGCGGAAAATGCGAGGTTCTAAGAATAATTTTATATAGTTCATAATTTTGCTTCAGTGAGCTAGTGGTCAGGTGCTCTTTGAAAAAATCACAAGGGAGAATCAGCGACTATGAGATGCCCATTGAAATGTGATAGACTACAACTGAGAGCAGGGCCAGGCACGCGTTGGTTTGCATTTTTGGAAACGAAGTCCCCTATGGCTTCGAGAAAATTCACGAGTCATTTTTGACGTAAAAGTTAGTAGGTATCCTCATTCAATCATCATAACAATAATGAGCGAAAATGCGCATTCTGAGGCACTTAATATAACAGAAAGCAAAAAAAAACCATTCTGAGTTGATTGAAGGCTCCATCATTGAGTATGCTGTAGTGCTGTAGTATTGCTCATCTTAATGTTCAGAATGTAGAAAAGCTCTTAGGCCCACCAAATCTGTGGCCCCAACAATCTGGATGCGTTTTTCGTCATATATGTAGTTTGAAGGACATTCGAAACGCGACGCGGCAGCGACGCGCAGTTTTCTCCGCCCGGTCACAAACTTGGTTTTTTTTTAAACGTTTTTTGAAGTTTCAGACGCCGATCTTTGTACGCTGGTCTGTTTCGAATTCGTCCCGACTTTCAAGCGCACGATTATTGGAGCATGTATGAAAGGCAGAAGTGAAACGTGTTTTTTTGTGACTTCTTTGCATGCACTATTTGCGTTTAGCGTACCGGTGATGTTCCACAATAAAGTGGAATATCAGTAAAGTCAAGTAGATGTATGACAAGGGTGGAAAGAAAAGTAAAACCGCTTAGAGAAGATTCGTGCTGATTGCTCATCGATGAAGTATCCTTTTCAGCCTTAATTTATAGACTCAGTTGTTAACATTACCAAGAAGCGAAAAGGAAATCTATAGATAGCGAAGATTGATGAAGTTACGGCTTCTTTGCAAACTTATTGCCAATTCTGGTCTCACCTGTTTGTAAGTGTAGAAAGCAGAAAAGGATTGGTCTTTGGGTGTATTTTCACCAAAAGCTGGAATTCGTTAGAAACCAATTGTGGTACTACAGTACTACAGATATAGTTTGTGCAACATATGTACTTTGAGGCTTGAAACTATAGTAAGAATCTTTATGACGAAGCCAGATCAGCTACTGGGGTGTTAAATTCCTGGATTGCCGCTCATTATTTGTGAAAAAAGAATCGCGGCGGCTGTGCTTGGACGGCCTCCGCCGGAGTTCACCAAATTTTTCGCATCAGGTCTATGTTCAGAGTGGATTAGTTCTGAGGGCTACCATTCAGCGGCTGCACGTCAGGAAGTACGCCGCGCGCGGCGGCCGCTCCGCCGCGTTCGAATCTTGGGGCCCACAAAACCCCCGCTGTTGAAGATTCCCCGCGGCAAAAACAGGGGGGTGGGGATGGGGCAGATACATGACTGGATGCCTTAAGTAACACTGCGCCAGGAGCGCTGCTGTTGTATCGGCTGGAGTACGTTGCGGCGTCGCTTCGCGAAAATTTCGCGCCGATCGTACCTCCTGACCGTTCCCCCATTCAGCTACTTCGACGTGGCACGCCTTTGTATATACATAACTGCTTTAACTTCGGGTACAGTGGGTAACGCCAGTTGTTTTTGCTTAAATAGGCTGCTCACTGTGACAATTACAAATTATCTGACGCTAGAGGACATTGCGAGACGCGGTAGGGGTGGATTTGCAAAGAAACAAACCACCTAAATATTTCGCCTTTCTCTTTTAAGCAATTATGTTCTCGATTTGGTTGCTCCTCGAAGTCACTCACCGAGGCTCAACCCGACGTTTTCATCATGTATAACTTTGACTAATTCTCATTTTTATTAGGATCCCCAAACATAATTTGCTGACCGGCGGATAGAGCAAGCACTTCGCAATTCAGTGTCTTTTTTCAGTCTGCGCGGCCTTTTGAAATAAAGGTAACATTTTGTAGTGACCAAATCCGTTAGTGGGAGTGTGAGCCTTAAACGTAACGATGCTTCTCCACTGCGTAAAATTTCAGAGAAATTTCAAACTGTGGAGAAAGCTTCTTACAAGGAAACGATACTCGGTGTCCGTGGCCTTTCGAGATGATATGTATACCATTAACTCGTCTTGGAACACTGATTCCGAATCTGGCTTCTGTTTCTGCTAATCGCTTCAAAAATGTTATAATAGATCGCGCGGATTCTGGCTTTCCCGTGAAATAGGGTCGGATCGCCTGAGCTACCGGTGCACTGTGGTCTAGTGGTTAGTGCGATAGCCTCACAAGTTGATGCAGTTGCAGGTTCGAATCCTTTTGTGTTTTCCAGTTTTGCATTGTCTCAATTAACCTTCTTTCGCATCATCGAGCTAAGTGAACGCCGCTACTCTTCAAAAAATGTGGAAATTTGGAAAAAATGATTACTATTTGCGCTAAATTGTATCCAATGACCATAGTTCAAGTAAATTTTCTCGAACAAGCTTAATTGAGGTAATGCAAAAGTAAACACACAAAAGGATGAACCTACACCTGCATCAACTTATAAGGCTATCGCACTAACCACTAGACCAGAAAGTGGCCGCGGTAGAACCCGTTCCAATGACCATATTTCCCTTGAGCAGCCAAACTTGGCTCGAAATTCCCCCATAACTTCTTTCAGAGAAACGATTAGCAGAAACGGAAGACGGATTCGGAATCAGCGTTCGAAGACGAGTGTAATAGTATGAATCACGTTTCGAAAAGCCACGGACATTGAGTATCGTTCCCATGTTAGAGATTTGCGGACGAAATCACAAACCATCTATGTGCGCATGGCTGTACCAGAAAATTTTAGACATCAACATTACAAAGCTGTGATTGCTCTACTTTGTGACAATATGCTTGTTGCTGATCGAGTTCGGAAAGCCTTGTCGTAAGCGAATTCGGAACACAAGCGTAGAAAGATCGGCGTCTGAAACTTCAAAAAACGTTTAAAAAAAAACAAAGTTCTTGCTCGCTGTCGCGCTCGGCGGAGAAAACTGCGCGTCGCTGCCGCGTTGCCGATCAGGGTACGCTTGTGTGTTTCGAATTCGTCCAAAATACAGAGAAGATAGAGCAGGAAAAAGTGCACAAACTTGGTTAGCATTTTGTTTAGAGCTCGGAAATATATCCCCACTGCATGCTTCTTACCGAAGCTTGCTGCACTCACCATCATCATTTCACAATGAAACCAAAGATCTCTCTAATGGAAAGGAATATTTTGCAAAAGACATGAGAAACTCGCACCTTGAAACTCGTTCGCTTATGTCGACTCTTCCCAATTGCGTCATCCCTATCATACTCGCGGACACTGTAAGCTTCTTCAACTTGTGCGTTCTCTCGTGTAGGAGCACCATCAAAGAATTCGAATGCTCGAGACTGAATGTCAAAATCGATAAAATGATTATCACATCCAAACGGGAAAACTCACCGTTTGAGAAGACTGGGTAGCTTTGTCATCCTCATATCGTGACGAATTGACAGGATTCGGTTCTCGTGTAACGCCTCGAAATACAAAGTATACATTTGCATAGGCAAAAAAAAACATTTTCGACTGTTCAAAGCGGATGTTCAATCATAGCTTTACTGGAAGAAAGTTTGTGAAACACCAAGTTTATCATATAGGAAGCCAGACATTACGATTGCTAGCAACCTGGAAACTCCGAGGGGGAAAAGGGGAGGTAAGCGACAGGTCAAGCGATAGAACAAGAAACCATGACTGTAAGATATTGTATACAAGTTCCAAAAAAGATTCATTTTTGAGCCAGTCCCGGTTAAAAATAACATAAATGTTCCAAAGCGGGCGGATGCCATATCCCATTTATCGTCATAGATCGGTATTGGCTGGTTGACTTTTTGCACATTTTGATACAAGGAGTCGGGTTCGTACAGAGGGTTGAATGAACATGCTTGACAACCATCATTATTCAACAACAAACTTTATGGATTTTCTTCTAAAACAGGAAAGCTGGAAGTTGGTGTAGAAGGGTAAATGGGTACACTTTTTTATGAAATTGAGGAACATTTCCCATCATCAGTAGCCTTCATCAATCTATGTACTTTTTCGCCAAGAGAAGCTTGAAAGCCACAATGACAGCCGTATAGATCATCGATAGCATGAATCCCTGTGCTAAATTCCTATTTTTGACTGTGTCAAGAAAGAATGAGTTCGGTCAGGACATACCATCAGAAATGATAATTTTGAAGAACACAACTAACAGCAGTATTTCAAAACCTAAGACGTAAATATGACATAACGATAGCGAAACTGGTGACTCTTGAAAATGGTGTTTATTGCCAGATTGTCAGGGCTGCCCTTAAGATGAAGTCGATCAAAAAAATCTGCTCACCTTAAAAGCAATCCTCACAACTTTTTCTATACGCGGTATGCAAATGTCTGGCATAAAATGTAATCACAGCTTGTGAGTGAAAATTACTATGACATACAAGCTGACTTTGTGAGAAAAGACTAAACTGATTGCTATGATAGAACACTGCTCAAACTTTACACGTGAGAAAACAAATTGATATCTGCTGAGTTGCTCGTTAAAGTGACTTACATGGTTCATTCTTGTTGACTTCGCTGGGCTTCTGACTATTTCTGAATGACGAGGAGCAAGAATAACTTGAAGTCACTCTAGCATCGGAACTTCCTTCTAAAAACTACGTTAATGAAAAGATATAAAGAGGTAATCAAGCTTACGAAGTCGTGGCCTCTCAGAGGAGGGATAGAAACGAGCAGGACCACCAAACGAATCCGAGGTGTTGTTATATCGAGACGACAACTTGAAGTAAGCTTTAAGACTGTTTACAAAGATTACCTGAGAAATCAAACTCACAGGGTGCAATTCATCGGAATTTGGGGAATCTGCGGTCTTTGTTTCGTTGTCGCGTATATTTTCATCGATCACCCACTTATCTGAATTAGAACCTGCATGATATTTGATGGGAGAAGTTAGTGTTTCACCAAAAACGACTTTTCATGTGGGCAAATACGCCACAGAACAAAAACAACATGGGCGAAGGAAGTTGAAAAGTCGCACTTCAAAAGGAGTGATCGTGCTAGTTTATAGATTGCGCTACAACTTGAGGACCTACTATTGTAATCTAATACCCCCCCCCCCCTCCCCTCCCTCCATCCAGTCGCCGCCTTTATCGATTTTGCGCGACTTGCAATACTGATACAACTTTTCCTGTTTCTAATGAGCATCTCCACTCGTTGTGAAGGTCAACAGTCTCTTTGACTACGAAGAAGTGCCTTCTGCAGAGGGTAAGACACCCAGTTCTTCATCTTTTAATGTTTCAAAACAACCCTGCATTTCTAACTCAACATCATTTGTGGCGACACGAAACTTCTACTTTTTTCCCGTTGCCGAACCTTATTGCAATGTAAATAAACCGTTAACACATTGACGACAAGGCCGATTTTTCGATTACTGCCATTTCGGACAGGAGCCTTTTTTGCTCTGCCAATCTTACGACCCACCCGTGGGTCGTATTGTCCAAAATGGTAGTCTTTTTGTAAGAAATTCAAAACATTTCTCTGAGAATATCCCCACAAGGGTTATCGAAGGCGCTGATTATCAAAATACAGTAAGTTTCAACTCAGTTTAGGCGGAAATTGGACTGGCGGGAGTCCGCTTCGCAACGATTCGCGCCGATTTGCAGTCTGCGTCTCTTCATTCTGATCTATCTCGCTGAGCCAGTGGCGGTGCGGACGCGCTGCTCCACTCAAATGTTTTGCCTACTCTGGGTTGAAAAAGACTGTATGATTTGTTTCAGTTTTTGGCAATATACGGTAAGATTACGGTAGTCACTCTGTACGAACCCAACATCACGGATTTTCGTGAAAAATTGTGTTTCGGGGGTTATTTCACATGCTGATCATGACTATAGTGTCCACTTTGTTCACTACCTTCCCACAGTGGGACTACGGTAGCAGTACGGCAGAATTTTTTTAAGGATCAAAAAAGTGATGTAAGAAGGCGGTATTAGAACTTGAGACTATCATTTTCGTAATCAGCATGCTAAAAAACCTATATATGCAAGGTTTAAGCTTCCTGGGATGAACAATGCGAAAAATCAATAAAATCAATAAAATCGATAATTTTTGATGGGCTTACATAAGTCTCATGCTCTCCCTGTATTTTTTGTGCATGTAAACTTGAATTGTCAAAAACAGCACCACTCTACGAGAAATTCGAGCTAAAATCTGTGCCTTACTTTTATCTACGGTATACCTACCGTAACATTACATTACAGTATCCCGGACCCGGACCACTCCGGCTAGAGCTTCGCCAAGGTGTCCCCAGTCATGTGCCAGAATACCGTAGAATTCCACCACATGCTGGCAAAGTTAGAGCTTTCGAAAACTTACGACCCACCGGTGGGTCGTATTGTCCGAAATGGCAGTACACGTACGACCCACCGGTGGGTCGTATTGTCGTCAATGTGTTAATAAACAGTAATGATGAAACACTCCTGCTAAACTTGTGGTTCTATCCCGCGCATCATCATGTTAATATTGCAAAGGCTTGAAAATGATGCGGTGGCAGAGAGCTGAATCGGTAAAGATCCTCAAACGCACTCTGCAAAAAGTTACAGAATGCAAAAAGGCTATGTCGGCAAAGCTTGATCTACTATCCATACAACATTTTCTAAGACACACGGTGAGATTTCACCATTTCTTGTACAAAACGTCTTCTACTGCACAGTCCGCTGCGAAATGCTCGGGCAAGTTTTCGTACCCATAGTTCGCAAAATCAATTTGAAAAATATACAGTCACCCTCCGACTCCCGATAAATCTATCGTGATCTCCTTCCAGATTCCAGTCAGCAGATAGTGAGCTGGGATATACTACTTTTGGATTTTGAGACCACTAGATATCAAGAACAAATAAATGGTAGAAGGGAAAAAGCGTAGCAAAGGCAAGAAGCAATTGAGGAAAATGAAATTTCAAAAAATTTACTTGAGGGCTTATGAGGGAGATCATTTCCCTGTGCTGCAACTGCAAGCGTGGGAAACTCTCTCGTCGATGTGTTTCCACTAGATAACACATCCGAAGATGGCTTTGCCCACGTTGGGCGCAAGTCTGGTCCACCTGATACACTCACAACAGATGCCTTGATGGCATCCCCAGAATCTGGTCCGGTTTCGTTTTTGCACCAACCAGTTCCTCCTGTAATCAAATACTACTTTCAGTATCACCTCTGGTGAAAATTACACCACAAGACAAAAAAAAAACGGCAAATTCAAGAATAGCAGCAAGTAAAAATTCTGAAACATGTACCTTGTGGAACAACAGCAGTTGTAGGATCTTGTCCATTATTTTCTGCCTTCAACGAAGGGAGAGTTGCCGGCGGTGGCATTCGTCGCACAACGCCAACACTCTTTCCAACTGAAGTGAGACCATGCTTACCTGGAAATTATATTGAGAATTACGGTAATCTCCATCTTGTAAAGGTATAGTAATCCATGTTTGTTTTTCACTGCCTGATGCGAGCTTATAAATTGCTTCTATTGTCGCTGATTTTCACAGAAAACTGTTCAAGAAAACTTTGGGACATAAAGACTACGGTGACCGTAATTTCATCTCAGTATTTGGATGAGGTCAGTATCGTGGTAACGGGCACGATTGAACATTCACAAACACTATAGCAGGTCACACTTCGGGACAAATTCATTCTGTGTATTTATCATTTTGCAACCTTGCCACAAGACTGAACATTAAAATGATTTCTCACATCGCACTTCCTTACTTTTCGGGTTAAGGGTCGGGCATACATCAAGCGATTTCGTCGTCTCGCGATTCTCCCAATAAAACAACTGTTACGAGTTCATTGCATGCCGATCATCTTGCATTTCGGTTGTGATAGTTAGTCGCGATTCGTCGTGTAGGGAAACTTTCACAACCGAGCAAGACGATCAGCATGCAGTGAACTGTTAACAGTTGTGTTGTTGAGAGAATCGCAAGGCGATGAAACCGCGTGATGTATGCCGGCTTTTTGATGTATTCTAGAATATGGAAATTCCGAACTTGCAAGTGAATCCATAGCGTAGCACACTCATACCGCCAGAGTGACAGCAATCTGAGTTCACATAAAAACTCACCTAGAGGTTTTGATCCCGCAGCGAGGTTGCGACCGGCGTAAAGACTATTCACATTGACAGGCTTGGGCTTATTGACTCCGACAGCGCCTCTTGCTAATGAAGACATGGAATCTAGGAAAAGGAATATATATATGTATATATATATAATGACATCACCGAACTTGTTCCTATTTACAACTTGTCTGGTAGGAAAAGTTATTGCTAGAAAGCAGGAAAATCGCGGCTTGTTATTCAGCTATGTAAGGGGAAAACACGGGCTAGTAACAATGCAACAACATTCCCTAACTCCAAAAACGTAATCGCGTTAGCGTAAGTTACGACTTCAGAGAAAGCAATGCCCCTATCAAGCCACTGATAGAGCTGGCATGTATAGTGAGCACGGAGATCGATCATGCGTTAATATCACCATCAAGATTTATCTATAGTTGCGCACACGCTTAATTATGGAGGGGTACATACAGATTACCTACTTCAACGACGCGACGTTCAAAAAACGTTTGGAGAACGTAGTCACTCAATCTTGCATGACATTAGGCTACTACTGCATGGGCTATTATACCGACATGTTTCACATCACCATAATTTTTTTTTGTCTCAAAACAGGTCTTTTTCATAAATTAGAGCTATTAGAACAGTTATAATAATGATTATAATTCAGACTTATTAATCTTATAGGCCAAATCTATTCCTATCGTCCATCACAAAGTTCGAAAAACGGAACTCGTCTGAGTTGAGATCGAAGAGCTCTGGCATTTCTTCCTGCGAACTGCCACTTGCTCAACATTTATACCATGCGCATTTACCTAACTATGGAAATCTTAGTAAATTCTCAAACATTGATAAAGCATACATTCAATGATTGTTGTTTAACACATTGGTAACCATGCACATTTTTGGCTGTCTGCCTTCTGGGAGCAAGGCCTTTTACGGACCAGCCCACATTTTTCAACTATAATTAGGCATACTGCCATCTACAGCACACCTACAGTAAATCTGAATGGCTGATAAAAAAAGGTAGCGGTCACCCCTAGATTCAGTGCAAAAGAAAGCTCATGGAGTGAGTCTATGCCAAGATAGTAGTCATTTTTACAAAATTCAAGTATGGTGTGTCAAACGGTCCCACGCGATAGTCATTGCTTGATACACCATGTGTGTCATCTTAGACTTATTCAACACAACATTGTAAGCGCGCCCTTACAAACGTCGCTACTCTGATTTGTTCATTTCCAAGTTGCTCGCGCTCAGAAATTTCCGCAGATGGACTTCTCACAGTGAGATTCAAGTGCTTCTGTTAGCCTACTACGCGCTCAAACACATAACATTCTTTAAGCTATCACAGGAAAATGCTAGAACGAATGTGATGAGAAATTGATTCTCTGGAAAGAGAGATATGCATCATGAAGGGCGAGTACATCGAGTCACTTCGGTAACACAGAATAAGAAATCTCAAGAACAAGTTGCGCAGATATGGCCAACAAAACGACCATAACCAAGCAATCCAAAAGGCAATATACTAAAATTGCTTGTATTACAACATACGTGATGCGTTGCTTCAAACGTGATTTTCATTTCGCTTGAGTTAGATGCTAAATCCATGTGTGAACCAATTTCTGGCGCAGAGATGCTGCTCCACCTTCTAAGTCAAGCCCTTGAATGATGTCGGATCGAAAAATTAGCCACGATCTTCAATCATGAATTGGAAGTTTCTGGGCTCGAATCTCTCCAATCAAGTCTTTCAAAATACGTGGCTATCACAAGGAAGGTCCCGCTGCTTGCGTCCCACGTTCAAATTGATGGAGAGCATGGACAGGACCCTCAAAATTCGCACTAGCTAACGTAGTAACCTATTCAGCCTTTTCCCGAAGCGGACATAGTCAGCTACTGCAAAAAATGAAATAACCTCAAAAGGGCATATAAATCGATCGATTTGCACTCTCGAGTAACTTTTGAAAACGAGTGAGGTGAACTAGCAAAGCTGTAAGTTCGCCATTCGCGAGCTGTAAGTTTTCGGTAAATACTGACAAACTAAGTTAGTTAAACAATACAAATAGCCGACCAAATAAAAATGGCTCTTTATATCCTTCATCCACGTCAACGTTAACGTAATGAGCTGAAACAAAGCAAGCAACAAATGCAGACTTCATGGTTGATATTGAACATAAAATATGAAAAAAAAGAAAGATCGAAACAAAAATTATAAAAATTAATGTAACTCAATTAGCAGAGAAGTTCAAAGTGAAATTGAAACACACCTTTCCACTCCCCTCACGAGTAATGGTGTTGTAAGAGTAGGACTCAGAACCTTCTCCACAGACAAGCTTGGACCAGCCAAGCCGCAATGTACTGAAAGGATTTAAATTGAAAACTGAGTTTTTTCTGAGCGTGATATTTCCATGCGGAACAACCAGCTCAATTTGAAAACCCAAATCGCCGATCAAAGTGAGGAATTTCATTACAACTGGCAGATAACATTGGCAAAATTAACTGATTTCTTGGTGATAGTAGTGCTTTTTGGTGAACCACAATATCCACAAAGCGAGTAAGCCGATGCACTCAGCCTGCTCGAAGCGCGAACACCACGAAGCGGCGCAATATTGACTGACCGTGAACGTTCCAGGCTGTGTCTGTCACGCGCTGCCCTCAGCGCTCGCGGCGCGGTTTATTCGGTCGATTAGCTGCGTTCCTGGAGATTCGTCCCATCTCGAGTTTCCATCGATCGTCATGCTAACAAATTCATCTTTCTGAAATCAAGCCACTTTGAGAAGAGGTGGAGATCACTCAAATGCTCATAAGCAAACGCCCTGTTTAACTACGTACATCGCTGTACTATCCCGGCCTATGTCGACCGAATGATTGGCGGAGAACGTTGAGTGTAAGATCTGGTATCGTTTTAAAAAAAGATACCCTCTGCCGTCTGACTACATCTGCGCGAATATTTTGAGTATGGGTGCCTCACCTAATCAATCATGATTCTAGACATTCCATACCGGAATCACATGTGAACAGCGACGGCTTCAAAATTGTGCTCCATGGCATGTACCCCATGTGTGCAGTTGCACAGTAGTATGGTGTAAATCAGTGGACCCAGATATGGTGTTTCTTTCCGTTTTTTTTTCGGTTTTGTGCGTAGGTACAGTCAAGTAACCTTTGATTCAACCGGCTTGGCATCATTAGGGCGGGGTTTTGTGGTCTAATTGAGGCCGCTCGCGCCCGCGACGCACCTGCGTCTCTCGCGCGAGTGCTCTCTGATCATTACCTAGCCTTAATTAGGTCACGAAGCTCCGCCTTTGCCGATGCCAAGCCAGTTGAATCAAATGGGACATTTTCCGCTCAATTTAGTGTGCTTGCACTGAAGGTGAATCGCGGTAAAATATGCGCGTGCACAGATAGCTGCGCCCGTGGCGCCGGCCAATTGCGCGCGCAAAAGACTGGCATTAAAGGCAGTACATCGGCAGAATGAGACCCGTGACAAAACAAGGTCACAGGGTAGGAGCCCCCATATGGAACCTATCGGCCAAAGTCCGATCTTTCTCTGCCACTTCTACCCCCGAAATTTCAAGCGAAAGCAGCGCTCATCTCCTGTCCTCACCGAACCCGCCCACCCCATGGACGAATGACTTCCGCGGTCAGAGCGCCAGCCGCAATGCTGCTATAAGCATGAGGTCCCGCAACGACTCTGCGTCTTCGCCATGACAGGCTTCGCGTTCACTCGTCCATGGGGTGGGCGGGTTCGGAGAGGACAGAAGATGAGCGCTGCTTTCGCTTTGAAATTTCGGGGGTTAGAAGTGGCAAAGAAAGATCGGACTTTGGCCAATAGGCTCTATAAGTGGGCTCCTACCCTGTGACCTTGTTTTGTCACGGGTCTCATTCTGCCGATGTACTGCCTTTAAAGGCAGTGGCTTGGGAAAATTGCGACTGCGGGCTTTTCACGACTGCATGGCCTTCTTTACCTATTTTGGCGGCAATTGGCTGATCAGTCTAGGCAGCCATCGCGATACAGTTTGCCGCCACAATAGGTGGAGTTACAGTCTACTGCAGCCGGTTGCTCATTTTGGGGTGAATCCCTCGCTCCGCCTCCCCAGCAATCTCCAAGACCCGGAAACGCCAAAAAAGCACTTTTTTAACCTTTCAGGCGCAGTACCGGACTCAGCTGGTCCAGAAGGCCATGTAGTCGTGAAAAGCCCGCAGTCGCAATTTTCCCGAGCCACTGCCTTTAATGGGTTGGCTACTTCTTCACGCGCAAATTTTACCGCATTTCACCTTCAGTGCAAGCACACTATAATAAGCGGAAAATCTACTTGACTGTAGGTGCCAGACTAAGCGAATGTTTTGTTCAGCTGCAAAAGGCGCACAGAATTACGTTAATTCTGCGCACCTGCAGCTGAAGCAGGCAATCGAGAGCAGAATTAACGTTAATTCTGTGCGCCTTCTGCAGCTGAACAAAATAGTCACTTAGTCTGGCGCTTACCGTAGCATGAGCACCATGTTTGAAGACGTAAATGATTATATCTTATAGGCTTGCAAAGACCGACGTTTCATTGTAAGTATCCTGCATACTGTGCAGGTGCACACATTAGCAGGGAAACCTACTCGACTGCATGGCAAAAGCGCGATTTTACAGTCCATGTTAATTACCTGTTCCCTTTTCCGCAAGCGCAAGAGCTTCGCGCCGCCTTCGCGCGCGTATGGCTCGGGCATTCAAATTGGCTTCATCGATTGGTGGCCCGCGCGCGGGCTCTTGCGTCGTGCTTGCGTAGTTCCCATGCGAAAGGGAGTACAGTCGCTTCATCTCATATGATCATGTGTGTCATTGCACACACAGTCCACTTTGGCGTCCTCATCCTGGATTTGCAATCGCAAAAACGCAAGAGACTTACCGATTGTTATCGATTACATCAATTTGAGGTGACTAGTAACCAAAAAGGAAAGAAAATGCTAAGAACACTTGGGAAACACTTACCTGAAGGCTTGTTTCTCACACAAATCCAGGATGGGGACGCCAAAGGTGAACTGTGTGTGCAATGACACACATGATCATATGACATGAAGCGACTGTACGTAATTGACATCGACTGTATGCTAAGTAGTCTGCCAAGAAGTTTGAGATGTTCCCGAACAAGAAAATTACTTAGCAGCGTTCTCGATGTCTCCGTAAATGCTCCAGCAATCTTCTCAGCAAATGATAGCTTCACATACATACAGGCTGCTGCATGACGAAGGCGCAATATCTTTGGGCGCAAACGCGATTTCATTAGCCGCAGAGCGCATGAGGCGCAGGATTTGATACAACGGTAAAGATGCGCGAGCGCAGCATTCGCGCCCGCTCAACAGGTACTACTTCTGCGCCTTCGTCATGCAGCAGTCTTTAGTTTTAGGGTGTTAAAAATTGTGACCACAGATCTCTCGCGGTTTTTACGCCCACAGGAGCATTAAACACTCATAAAAAAGGCGTATCACCTTGATGCTCAGCTCGGTCTTCTCCATCTGAATGCTATTATGTGTATGCAACAAAAAAAAAACCATCCGAGCAGAGGTGAGAACCCAGGGACTGCGGTTGCCGGAAATGCGTGCGCGAGCGCGCGGGCGCTATAGTCACGATTTTATGAATGCACCTTTTTTGATAGCGCGTACTCCCCTCTTCCCGCTCACCCCCCCCCCCTTCCGCTCCGTTATCGCTACAGTTGCAAGGTGCATGTGCAGGGGCTCAATCTTGTAGGAGTAACACACTAAAATGTTCCTGTTTTTTGACATGCAAAATCACTGTACGGTTTCGTTTTGTTTAATTTCGCAAACAAAAACGCGACGCACGCATTTTTCGGCCACCCTGTATATGAGACTCAATACTGCACTCATAATCGCACCAGTAGCCTAACCCGATAGCTGCTTCCAGGAGCTTTTGGATTGCGATGACGTTAGATGTTGGGGAAAACGGGTTGTAGATACAGTCGAGTAGATTTCCTGCTCAATATAGTGTCCCTGCAGACGCGACAACGCTGGGACGTCAATAATTGCCTTGCGAGTTCCCGAGCTAGTGTTTTCCAGTGTTTTCTTTGCTTATTCTATGTTTTTAGGTGATTCGTTGCTGATAAAGAAGAAAAGGGTAAGTTAAAGAGTAGTTTCTGTTTTCTGAGAAGTTCTATCATCGCATATTCACAGATATCCACGTGGAAGCATTTCGCGTCAGCTTTTTGTCTATTTTTTTGTCATTTCCTTTTCTTCTGTCACTTCTTCTTTCGAACCTTCGTCTTATGAGGCGCTTCTTTGAACGCTAGTTGGCTTGTCTTGCAGCAACTTCGGCTTTCACCCATAAGAAATGGCATTTTAATCAAGTACTTCATGTGATAAAGACAATAGGTCAATCGTAAAAACCCATTAGCGTTCAAAGAAGTACTTCACAAGAAGAAAGAGACATGAAGTAACAAAAGAATTGACAAGAAGCTGACGCGAACTGCTTCCACGCGGATATCTGTGAATATGCGATGATAGAATTTCTCAAGAAACAGAAATACTCTCTAACTTACCCTTTTCTTCTTTATAAGCAACGAATCACCTAAAAACATAGAATAAGCAAAGAAAACACTGAAAACACTAGCTCGGGAACTCGCAAGGCAATTATTGACGCCCCAGCGTTGTCGCGTCTGCAGGGACACTATATTAAGCAGGAAATCTATTCGACTGTATATGGCCACAGGTAATGCATTATGTTTATGTCTAGTTCGTTCTTGTTTTAGACATTCCCTGTAAATACATTCATTTGTTGCGAGATTCATTCGTTGCTTGCTCTCAAAGGCAGTGTTCGGGCAACAACTCGACTTCTATAGATCTCACTTTCCTGGGGTTATCGGTAATGCTGAATTCGAAAATCCGCATTAGAAAACACGAAAACGGGGAGAACATGCATTTCCCAGAGCTCTACAATTCGAAATGGGACGGTTTCCACGAGGGCTGAGAGCAGAGTCCCTGTGGGATCCCACAATTTTAACGGTGGCGGCATGTGTACTCTGGCTGCGTTTATAATACTCTTCGGGAGTTCAGGAACAGTTCCAGCACAGCGCTCGAACTCAGTCAACTCACTCACTCGAACAGCAATCTCCGATACTCGCGCAAAAACCACTTGTACTGCCGCTACATGGGCGACTGTTGTATAGTTTGCTCCACCCAAGAAGAGCTGAATCCTTGTTTTAGCACCCTCAACCAGCAGTCTTGCCACATCAAGATGACACAAGAGAAATCCACAGATTGTTGGCTGCCATTCTTGAGTGTCGAGATGCAGCTCTCGGAAAACGGTTGGAGAACACGATGGTATCGCAAGCTCAGCAGAGGAACGTCCTCACTGATTG